CACACAAGTGAGAGCAAAGAATCCTTACTGGGGATGGTTAGAGAATGTTTCACAGAGGGGACAAGGGGGCAGGACTTATATCTCTATATAAGTAGATAGAACAAGGGCATCAAGCAGAGAAAACAAAGAACAAAGGTTCAGAGTCCAAAATATACCTCACTTCCCTTCTACCTCATTCCTCCACTCCTTTTTGCCAATTCTGATGCATCTTGTATGAAAGGGATGATATTATCACTGTGGTGAAAAGGTTGGTGTGCCTGGAGTATAGGTGGAGTCAGGAGTCCTACAATGTGAGAGTCAAAAAACAGGTTGGGCCTGGGTGTGAAGGGCCATGGGTGCCAATTAGCAGTTTACCCTGCTTACAGTGCTGCTCCCTTAAAGATCAGGAAATGAAATCTTACAGAAAGATAAGTCAGGCAGCATGGAAAGGATGAGTAAAGGGAGGAACAATGAAAAACCTGTAGTCCAAGAGGAAGCTATTGCAGAAGATTGGATGAAAGATGATAAGCCTCAGAGATGGATCAGGGTCAGACATTTCCAGGTAAGACTGATAAAATCTGATGGCCACTGATCTCCATGGTCTGCAGAATCTGGTCTAACAGGACCATGGTAGTGTTGTGGAATATGTGGACCTTGTAGCCAGGAGAGCAGAGTTCAGCCTGATTCTGCCTTACAAAGCTCTATGATTCTGAGCAAAGGATGAAAGGATGTACAAATGGGTCTAATGCCATTTAACCTTTTTTTTTTTTTGCAAAGATGAAATGATGTGTGTATATCTAATATAGTCCCTGGCACATAAGTAATTCATACACCTTAGGGCCCTTCAGCTGGTGTTCAAGGCCACTTATAATTTGATTCACATAGATCTTTCTAGGCAAACAAACCACTCTCCTGGACTTACCCCTTTCCTCCAAAAATAGAGAGCTTTTTTGATGTAGGTATTTCTGCTTGTAAATTTCCCTGTTGGTACTACTTTTGCTGTATCTCACAGATTTTGGTATGTTGTGTTTCTATTTTCATTTGTTTCAAGAAATTTTTAAATATCCTTCTTAATTTCTTCATTAACCACAGGTCATTCAGGAACATGTTGTTTAATTTCCATGATTTGTCAGTTTCCAAAGGATTTTTTTTGTGTGTGATTCATTTCTAGTTTTGTTCCATTGTGGGCTGAAAAGAGACTTAGTGTGATTTTTAAAAATTTGTTGAGACTTGTTGTGTGGCCTAACATATGGTCTATCCTGGAAAAAGTTCTATATGCTGATCAGAATATATATTCTGCAGCTGTTGAATGATGTGTTCTGCATATGTCTATTAAGATCATTTGCTCTAAAGTGCAGCTTAAATCCTATGTTTGTTGATTTTCTGTCTAGATAATCGGTCCAATGCTATGAATAGAGTGTTGAAGTCCCCAACTATTATTATTGGGGTCTATCTGTCCCTTTAAATATCAAATAAATAACCCAATGATGCACCCTAAAGAACTAGAAAAGCAACAATAAACAAAACTTAAAATTAGTAGAAAGAAAGAAATAATAAAAATCAGAGCAGAAATAAATGAAATAGAGAATAAAAAAATACAAAAGATCAAGGAAACGAGAAGTTGGCTTTTTGAAAAGATAAGCAAAACTGACAAAACATTAACCAGACTAAGAACAAAAGAGAAAACCCAAATAAATATCAGAAATGAAAAAGAAGACATTACAACTCGTGCCATAAAAATACAGGTCTATTTACCATTTCTCAGACATGCCTTACTCTTTCTGATCTCTAAGTCTTTGCTAATACTATTTATTGTCTTTAAGTGTCCTTCTTCTCCTCAGTTTTCATCACTATCTTAAGGGCTTTGCTTCAAATAATACCTCTTTTAAGAGCACATCCTCAGTATCCCATGTGGAAATTATCTTTCCTCCTGTTAAACTCTCAAAGCACTTTATTAGAGTTACTTTAATGGCCCTTACAATATACTGCACTTCAACTAGCTATTTGGAATATATTTTTCATTCTCCCAGGTATGATTAATTTTCCTATTTACTGTAGTACTTAACTCAGTCTACAGTGTTATCAAAAGTAGATATTTAACAGATTAATATGATTGCCTGAGAGAGAGAAGAGAACAATCAGTTGAGTGCTAGGTATGGGTGTGGGAAGAGAATGGTATATGTCTTTACTAACCAGAAAAGTCATAGGGTTGTACCGCTGCCAATCCGAATTTTATTGCTTTCATTTGTAGCTCCTCTACAGCATCTAGGTATGGCAAAATTCAATATGTAAGGCCAGCAAGGAGTGTTTCACACAACACCATCTGACAAACTGGCCGGAGTTCTTAGTTATATATCTAACCTGTTCTATGATCTACAGTCTTAATTTAGGTGATTGGCAAAGATATTTGCAATAGGACTTCAGTGCCATTTCTGTAAGAAAAATCTAGTTTGACAAAAGAAATCATGATCTAGGCTAATAGCATATTGCTTCGAAATTAAATAGATCTATCTTGCATGTGTTCAATTTTGCTGAGAACCTAAAGCTGCCCTAAAAAAAAGAAAATATAATGAGAAAATAAAATTAAATATAAATATAATAAGAAATTAAAATAAACTATACAAAGAAAATAAAATTATCTGATTAAGTGACACACTGGCATTTTTCACTTAAAAGTTTTAACTTCTTGACTATCCATGGCTTATTAATTAGTTTGTGGTCCCCTGTATGTATGGCAGAAGACATTAGAGAAAGATGGTATTGAACTAAGCAGCTGTGATACCAGCCTGTCATTAAGCTTACAAAGAAAAACTGACACTTGTGTAATGGAAAACTAAATGTGCTAAGATTGTTTTCAATTTCTTTTTCTGTGAGCAAAAGCAGTTTTTGAAAAAGAATGCTTCATATTTATATATTAAAATTTACAAAAAACCTTGTATATTATGTTTTATGTGAGATGTTTATTTTATTTCAAACAATATTAAAACAAATAAATTTTTGTGCAGTTCAGTAACACAATGAGCACATAATACAGTTAACCTTTTGAAAGGCACTTCTGGTATAATCACAGTAAAGTAACATAGACAATTAGACAATTATCTGCTTTGACACTTTATTAATTTGCCCATTCATTTCAATTTTCTTTCAATGTTCTTCACTGAATTGCTTCATTTATAAACATTTCGAAGTTCCACTATAAAATATACCTAAATTAATTGATTTATCTTAATTCTATTTACCATTGATCCTATCACCTATAAACCACATTTAAAAGACATTTAAAAATGTTATCCTTTATCTAGTTACTAAACTAATCACTCCTCTACACAGTCATAAGAAAATGTTTGAAATAGCCAAAAATAAATGAAGTGGAACTGGTGATATAAAACTTCTAAGAACAAAAGTTGGGTAAGCCAGAGGTTTTTTGTTATTGATACTGTTTATTCTTTTAAAGTGGTTTTGTTCTTTTATTATTTTAAATTATACAATTGTAAATAGTATGATTTTATTTTAAAAGACCTCAAAGTGTATTTTAGAAAACTGGAAGAGTCTAATTTTTTAATAAAAATTATAATGTTCTTAGCTTCCTAATACTAAGTCAAAATCAAAATGTGTTCTCTAAAGAACATCCACAATTACTCTCAATTTTATCATAGAAATATGTACAATCATAAGTATCAGCTCACCTGATTAAACTAATTTTCTTATAAAGAAAAACACCCTTCATATATCCTTGCATAAAGGTACTATTAATTTATATGATTAATGTAGAAAAACCTAACTAGCTGAACAAATGTTCAACAGATTTCGGACCCCATATTCTTTCATTTTCAAGTTTATAATAAAATTAAGAAATGATAAAATACTAAGTATAAAAATTATGTCATAAATTGAGGGCTATGTTGAATATGAAAGCTGAGATGATATCTTTCTTAATAAATGAAATGTTATAAACTGCAGTGCAAAGAGTACATCTTTACCAGTTATTTTTATTTTTACTTTTTGAAATAGAGACAGGGTCTCCCTGTGTTGCCCAGACTGGGCTAGAACTCCTGCGCTCAAATTATCATCCTGCCTCAGCCTCCCAAAGTGCTGGGATTACAGGTGTGAGCCACCATGCCCAGTCTTTACCAGATGTTTTTTAAGTTAATAAGACTTTCAGGATTTGGTTAGAATATTCTGATATAATAACCAAACTCATATTATTTTATGGATAATCTGAAGAATAACAGATGTAATTGACAGTAATTTTTAAAAACGTAAACATTTCCTTTCCTTTGTCTAGTTATTGTATAAGACAACTAAATATGATTCCATCCCTTTCTATGTAGTCATAAGAATAACCATAAGCAAAAGTTAAAATTACATTCTTGATTTGTTTAAAAATGCAAAACAGGTATTGAGGAGCCATCAACTGTGCCTGATGTATTTTCTAAATTATTTTTGTTAATCAATTACATCAACATGAATGATTTCGTAGAGACCTAAAGCTGCTATATGCAGTAGTATGGCATATAGACTCCTTAATTGAAAGTTTCTATTGTGGCCCGACTCGATGGCTCACAACTATATTCCCAGTATTTTGGGAGGCCAAAGCAGGAAAATTACTGGAGTTCAGGAGTTTGAGGCCAGCTTGGCCAACATGGCTAAACCCTGACTCTATAAAAAATATAAAACTTAGCCAGGTGTGGTGGCGTGCACCTGTAATCCCAGCAGAGGCTGCAGTGAGCCAAGATTGCACCACTGTGCTCCAGTCTGAGCA